TCATTCTCTCATGGAAGATAAAATTAGTTAAAGTCCCAGAAACGGTGACGGTCTTTGAAGTTGAGAGACTGATTGAAGAAGAAGCAACGGACATCTTCTTGCAGTGGCAGGGAGTCACAGATAAGCTGGATGAGAATCTGTACATAAGACTGATGCTAAACTCCGCGAAGGGGAAAGATGGGCTGAAAACAGGGAAAGCTTCATTGGGGGCGCTGTTTCTAGGGCCAGCAAACACGCTCATAGAGATTATGAATAAGCACATACCCAGTTTGAAATTGCAGAAGGAGGATTGCTCTGAAATGAGTTGGATTGAGTCGGCTCTGTTTTGGGCAAATTTCCCAAAAGGGTCAACCCCAGAAGTTCTGTTGGACAGAGCAGTCCGACCCAATACTTTTCTGAAGCGGAAATCGGACTACGTGAGGGAACCCATTACAGAGTCGGGGTTGGACGCGATATGGAAGGCGGTGATGGAAACAGAACTAGTGGGTATCGTGTGCAACCCATACGGAGGCAAAATGAGCCAGATTTCAGAGACGGAGACGCCATTTCCACACAGAGCTGGCGTGAAATTCAAAATCCAGTACTCCACCACCTGGAAGGAAGAAGGGGAAAAGGAAGCGGATGAACGCTTAAACTTGATGAACAAATTGTACGAAGCAATGACTCCTTACGTGACGAAGAACCCGAGAGAAGCGTTTCTGAATTACAGAGACATTGACGTGGGAAGTAGCACGCATTGGAACGTGGGAGAAGGAAAGGTTTATGGGGAGAGGTATTTCAAACAGAATTTTGAGAGATTGGTGGAGGTGAAGACCAAGGTTGATCCCCACAATTTCTTCAAGAATGAACAGAGTATCCCCACCCGGTGATCTCCCCTGAATCAACGAAGATGATGGGTTTGGACTATGATTTGTTTGTTTATATCTGAAAAATAATAAGTGGTTGTAGCCATTGCTTTGAATGAATGGCTATGATACTCACAGTGCTAATCAATGAAATCAAAAGCTTTCTCAATACATTCTTCATAACTTTTTCTGTAGTTTCTAGAAATATGCAAGGACCCTACTTTTCTTACATACAAAGAGGTGATTGTACGGTTCTAAAAGAATACGTTAAAGAAGTAATTTATTACCCTTTAACAAATGTTGTATCCAACTTAAAACCAAAACATAATTTAGTTTAATTCCCTAGTAATGAAAATACAAAATTCCGTGCCACAACAAGTAAAGAATTTCCTTGGCGGGGTCTATTGGGATCAAGGAACTCGTAAAGAATTTCCTTGGCGGGGTCTATCGGGATCAAGGAACTCAACTACATGAATCATCAGGACCTTAAATCATCCCATGAAGATCTAATTTTTACACATAAAAATCAACCTGAAGTATTTTAATTTATCCTATAAATACTGAGAGATAAATATAGGCCATTAAATTCACAACTACCTAAAAATATCTCATCCGAAAATCATAATTATATTCATATAATTTTATTATTCTAATTTATTCCTCCAATAATTTGAATTCTATGTATATAAAAATTAAATAACTTCATGAGCTGTTCAACTTAACCTTCAAGAACAGAGGTATTAGCTGTATTACTCAACCTTGGAAGTTAAGAGAACGAACCTCCAATGGTCAATGAGAATGCCTTTTTTTTCATCGTCTTCCTCCCCACGCCATTTCAATTTTAGCTCATCCTCGATCGCCCATGGCGATTCCAACTTCATTATTAATCCCAATCCTTACAACCCTTCTTCTCATTCTCCCTTCAATGGCGGCGGCTTCTCATCACACCCTTCTCAGCTGCCTTTCCGACCATTCTTCGCCGTCAGCTTCCCCAATCTCTGAAGTTACCTTCTTCCCCGACAACCCATCTTACTCCCCTGTCTTGAACTCTTACATCCGGAATCTAAGGTTCGCCTCCCCCACTACCCCTAAGCCCTTGTTCATCGTCGCCCCGACCCATATCTCCCACATTCAAGCCTCCATTCTCTGTTGCAGAATCCACGCCCTAGAACTCAGAATCCGAAGTGGTGGCCATGATTACGACGGCCTCTCTTATGTCTCCGATTCCCCTTTTGTGATCCTCGATATGTTCAATCTTCGATCTGTAGCCGTCGACATTGAGGACGAGAGTGCGTGGGTGGACTCGGGAGCAACCCTCGGCGAAGTTTACTTCAAAATTGCAGAGAAGAGCAAGATCCACGGATTCCCAGCTGGGGTTTGCCCCACGGTTGGAGTTGGAGGCCATCTCAGCGGCGCCGGGTACGGTAATTTGATGAGGAAATTTGGGGTTTCTGTGGACAATGTAGTTGATGCTCTGATTGTTGATTCTAATGGTAGGGCTTTAGATAGGGAATCGATGGGGGAAGATCTGTTTTGGGCAATTAGAGGAGGAGGTGGAGCTAGTTTTGGAGTCATAGTTTCATGGAAGTTTAGGCTTGTTCCTTTACCTGAAACTGTCTCAGTTTTTAGAATGGAGAAAACCATGGAGGAAGGTGCTGTAGATATGTTGTACAAATGGCAGGAAGTTGCTGACAAAATTGATGAAAATCTGTTCATAAGAGTGGTGATTCTTCCTGTAAATAAAAAAACCCAAAAGACAGCAAAAGCCAAGTTCATTTCCTTGTTCCTAGGAAGTGCCCAGAAGCTGTTTTCCTTAATGTCTGAAACACTACCAGAATTGGGTGTGAAGGCCGAGGATTGTCTAGAAATGAGCTGGATCGAGTCTGTTCTGTTCTGGTCCAACTACCCCATTGGGACTCCTCTCAATGTGTTGCTCGAAAGGCAACCCAACTCCGAAAAGTTCTTGAAGAAGAAATCGGACTACGTTCAAGAGCCAATCTCCAAGGCAGATCTGGAAGGAATGCTGAGGAAAATGATGGAACTGAAAAGACCAGCGCTGACCTTCAACCCATACGGTGGGAAAATGAGTGAAATTGCAGAGAGGGAAACCCCATTTCCACACAGAGCAGGGAACAAATACAAAATCCAGTACTCAGTGACATGGAAGGAAGAAGGCGAGGAGGCTGCAGACAAGAACGTGGAGCTGATCAGAGAGCTTTACGAGTACATGACACCCCATGTTTCAAAATCGCCTAGAAGTGCTTATTTGAACTACAGAGACGTGGATTTGGGCGTGAATGGAAACGGCAACGCAAGCTATTGGGAGGCGAGCCACTGGGGAAGAAAGTATTTCAAGGGAAACTTGGACAGATTGGTGGAGGTGAAGACCATGGTGGATCCGGGCAACTTCTTCAGATATGAACAGAGCATTCCATCTGCTGCAGCATATGATTCTAATGGCAGAGCCGAGAGCCTCTGATGTGTGAATATCTGCTTCTCCTTTCTTCTAGGGTTCGTTCCCGTATTATATCTGGGATTTGAGCAATTAAGCTTAATTATCCCACCAATTACTGTTAATTGTGTTGGTAACTAGATATTGTAAGTTTGTTTCATGTATCCGACAACAACTAGATTACCGTTGGTTTCTTGAAATAATATGGCCTGGTGAACAGTTAAAACCCTAGATAAACCGTTTGTATACTAACACTAGAACATATTTTTAAATTCTTTTTAGAGATTAAAAATGAAAATGTTAAACGCAACAATTTCTTAAAACAACAAAATGGGTTATTTTATATGATTTTTGTTATTTATTATTATTATTTTTTTAATGTAAAGTGGATGGGATATGGATAGGGTTTAGGGTAGTGGAGGCATGTTTGACTTTTCAAACATTTATGGTTTTTTTGGTGAGATGTGTGTTGCCGTGTTTTTAATGGACGATGTCGGAAGCCTCCTCCGCTTCCGTGACTCGTAAGCGCGTCCGAATTTTCACCTCCTGATTGGGAACTTCATTTCCCACCCGTCACGTGCTTTCGACCGGGTCCGAAAAGCCTAAAGGCAGGCATCCGAAAAGCCTAAAGTCAACTTTTAAAATTTATTTGGAAGTTGACCTTTCAAAGGGTTGAACACAAATCATTTTAGCCGCCTAGTTCCAACCCAAAGATAATGATAAAAGAAGTGTGATGCTAATTTATATCTAAACATTTAATAATAAGTCCGTATTTGAATTAGTTTATGTAAATATGAATTTGATATCCAACAAAATGTGTAATTTTTTAAAGTAGGGAGGTAATCAAATTACACAAGTCCTTCGCAACGATATTTTTTGTTCATTAATTAAGATTCAGCTTTTTCTCCCCTTCTTTCTCCGGTCAAATTACAGGCACATATTCCATTCACATCATTTTTATTTTTTGATTTAAAATGGGAACAATAATGTGGCACGACAAGGGTAGACATGTGAGTCGACAGGGACAAGCATACTTCCCATTTTATAATTCAACTTTAAAATATGCTAAACTTCCACAATTGCCCTTCCCTTTCCCCTAAATCTCTTCTCCCTACCTTATCTTAATTTATTTAGTTTTACATATTAATCCAAATATAAACTATTAGCCCACTATTATGCGTAAAAAGGGAAAACGCGTTTGGTATGATTTTTATTATTTCTTGGATTCTTCATTAAATATTTTCATATTTTTTTCCAATTTTTATAATTTCTTTTGGATTCTTCATTAAATACTTTCATATTTTTATTTCCAAGCTCAAACCAGAAATTTAATTTCAATTTTAAATTTCTAAAATCTTATCCGGTCACTAACTATTTTAGACTTTTCAAGAAACCGCAACTTGTTTGCTCGCAAATTAAAACTCGTTTAAGATTTTTTTTCTATAATGTAAATAATTAAATACACATTTGATTCCGATTGCGACAACCTAATTTCAAAATTAACATAGGATAAAACATTGACTGTCCGCATAGAATGCCGCCTTTGTCGGCATTATTTTACGACTGTAAATAGCCCAATGTTTTTAATTTAATTATTATGTGGGTGGAATTTATTAAATAAACCACCTAATAATGATTGAATAAGTTGGAAGTATTAATAGTTAAATTAATAAAATTTATTATTTATTAATAATTAGAGTTTTGATGGTCAAACCAGGAAAATTTGAGGAGGAAGCCGAGTTGCATTTTGCATATAAAGCCATGATGTTCCATAATGCAAATGAAATGAATAACACCAACTCCAACTTCCACCCAACCATGTCTCGTCTTCTTCCTCTCCTTCTCTTCCTTATCCTTCTCCGATTCTCGCCTCCCTCCGCCGCCGCAGATTCCGTCTACACCCAATTTCTCCAGTGCTTCCAATCCAACTCCGACACCTCTAATGGAGTCTCCGACATAGTCTTCTCTCGCCAAAATGCTTCTTACACTTCGGTTCTTCGGGCTTATATCCGAAACGCCCGTTTCAACACCTCCTCAGCGCCCAAGCCTGTGATAATCGTCACTCCATTCACCGAATCCCATGTCCAATCCGCTGTCATTTGCTCCAAGAAGCTCGGCATTCAACTCAAAATCCGAAGTGGGGGCCACGATTATGAGGGTATCTCCTATGTTTCCGATGTTGAGTTCATCGTTCTCGACATGTCCAATCTTCGCGCGGTTACCGTCGATGTTGCCGACAAATCGGCGTGGGTTCAAGCTGGAGCCACACTCGGAGAAGTGTACTACGGAATTTGGGAGAAGAGTAAGGTTCTAGGCTACCCGGCTGGGATTTGTCCAACTGTCGGCGTTGGCGGACATATTAGCGGCGGCGGCTACGGCAACATGCTCCGGAAGTACGGACTCTCTGTTGACCAAATTCTTGATGCTCGGATTGTCGATGTGAAGGGCAGAATCCTCGATTCCAAGTCTATGGGGGAGGATCTTTTCTGGGCCATTAGCGGCGGCGGAGGAGCCAGTTTTGGGGTCGTCCTCGCCTACAAAATCCGGCTGGTTCCAGTGCCGGAGACGGTCACCGTCTTCCGAGTCGAAAGAACCCTGGAACAGAACGCCGCTGACTTGGTGGTCAGATGGCAAGAAGTGGCTCCGTCCACCGACGAGAATCTGTTCATGAGGCTACTCTTACAGCCAGTTTCCAGTAAAGTGAAGAAGGGGACTCGAACAGTCAGAGCCTCAGTCGTGGCCTTGTTCCTCGGGAAATCGGAAGAAGTCGTTTCCTTGTTGGGAAAAGAATTCCCCGAATTGGGGTTGCAGAAAGAGAACTGTATCGAACTTAGTTGGATCGACTCTGTTCTTTGGTGGGGTAATTTCGATAACGGAACTTCACCCAAAGCTCTACTCGACCGCAATCTCGATTCATCAGGGTTTCTCAGAAGGAAATCGGATTACGTTCAGACACCCATTTCCAGAGATGGGTTGGATTGGTTGTACAAGAAGATGATCGAAATCGGCAAAACAGGGCTTGTTTTCAACCCCTATGGCGGAAAGATGAGCGAAATTCCATCTACAGCGACCCCATTTCCTCACCGAGCAGGGAATCTGTACAAGATCCAGTACTCAGTGAACTGGAACGAACCAGGGCCGGAGGCAGACCAGGAGTTTGTGAAGCAAATAAGAAGGCTGTACAGTTACATGACCCCCTTTGTGTCGAAGAATCCAAGACAATCCTTCCTGAACTACAGAGATTTGGACATTGGCACCAACAACAACAACAAGAACAGCTTCGAGGATGGGAAGGTTTATGGATTGAAGTACTTCGGGGAGAATTTCGATAGGCTGGTGAAGGTGAAGACGGCTGTGGATCCAGAGAATTTCTTCTGGAATGAACAGAGTATTCCAACTCTTTCAAGTAAGCAATGAGATGGTCCTAGGATTTGGTGTCGGTTATCTACATTATTATTTTACTTGCATTGCATTGTAATGTGATGCGAGAACCACAGGGTTATTAGAATTGAAAAAGCTGATTGTTTCGGTTTTTCTGATGGAAACCAAGATTTATAGATATATGCATTTACAGTTCGTACCATATTTCTCATTACGTTTGTATGAAGACGAGTTAATGAAAGTAATAAAACTAGTGGAAATCAGAGTCGCCATTGGAGTCGAGTTTTGGTGCATAAAAACTTGACTTTTCTGTCCTCCTCTGTCTCCCCCGGGGCGGTGGTTGGCTGAAAAGATTGAAAATTTGGCAATCAATTAAGGCATCATATCGTGGGTTGTTGCTGCTCATGTGTGCAAGGCTGCGTTCTGCTGCAAGTGTTTAAAGGGGAATTGGTAAAGTTATTATTAAATGGAATAGGTGACAATAAATAAACCCAAAAGTTGGCTTTTTTTAAGGGTCCCAAAAATGAATTGAAAGAAGCAGCAGCTTTAGCGAGCACGTATAGCCAAAGAAAAGCCAACAAGGAAAAAAAGATGCTACTATTGTTGCCGGCGAAGTAGAGTCAATCATCTCTGTAAATAAAACATACCCATCAATGCCGGCCCGAAACCCACATACATTATCGCCCCATTACGCGAATCCCATGTTCAATTCACTCTCATTTGCGCCACAACCTCCGGCCTTCACTAAGAATCAGAAGCGGCGGCTGTGATTTCGAGGGCAGTTTAATCTCCGATGCGTTGCGCGGATTGTTGCTGTGACTGTGTTTGAAAACAAGCTACCAAATGTTCATGGTAGTATGGCTTAAAAGACATAGTAACATAAATTAGTTTGCCTATCTCTATCTCCATCTTCAAAATGAAGTTAGATCCATGTTTTCCTTGTTCTTTCTCACCGAATCTGAGCCATTTTGCTAACTGCAGAGCTCCAGTCTTCTGGTTTGAGTTGGAGTAGAAGAAGTTGGAGGCCGACCATGGTGGCCATCATCATGGTTACACCACAGCTTTTGTAAACCCACAAAGGAATGACTACAGGGAGTGGGGTTCCACAACGAAGAACAACTAGATGGAGAGAAAAAAAAGACACCAACCAGCAGCAGCAGCATGTGTTAAAGTCAAAATCTTTGTTCTCAAGCTTTGATATTTCAAACTCCAGAGTGAGATGACAATGGTTGGTAATCATCCACTTAATGCCTTGAAATTATATTATAATGAGTAGCAGTGCTTCAGAGATACCTTACCACTTATTCTGCTTTGGGGTTTTAACAAACTTGTTCACTTTAGAGTGCTATCTTCACAAATCCTATCGTCCCACTATGACGACCTTATCTAGATCGGTTCATACAAGCCAAACTTCTAGCCCAAAGAGAAGTTTATCTTTATCATCATTCAATCCCAGCACGGCATTTTTATTCTGCTAAGATCTTCCAAACTCAACAAAATAATACAATGAAACCAACTCTGACTCGGTGTGAGATTCCACGTTAGTTGTAGAGGAAAACGAAACATTTCTTATAAAGCCGTAGAAAACAGTGATACGTAACGGGTCAAATGGGACAATATCTGCTAGCGGGGGGCTTGGACGCTGTGCCAGCGAGGACGTTGGACCCTCGAGGGGTAGATTGTGAGATCCCACATTGGTTGGAGAGGAGAACAAAACATTCCTCACAAGAGTGTAGAAATCTTTACGTGACACGCCATAGGGACGTGGGGCTTTTACAAAAGGAATCCTCGTATATTTTTACCTTCATTTACAATATTAGAAATCTTGTAAAAGGAAAACTTTTCATTTATGAACTATGCCCTTAATAAGTATGGTTGACCCATGTTAAGTCAAGTGTTAGACCCAAAAATATAGCCTATAGAACAGTAAGTCCTTAAATGAATTTGCTAATCTCTGAAATGGAAGAACCTCCAATACTCTTCTCCATGCGGAATTGCATTAAATTCCAAACCTTAATTTTACAGCAAAAGAACTTCCCAATACACTCAACGTCATCTTCATATGGCAGTTTAAGGATCTGGTCCCTGTTTTCAGACTTTATTGTGTACAACTGCCTCAGTATCCCGTATTTCAAACTACAGTTTCATACTCGACACAAATAAAAGGTCTGTCACTTTCATTTCTTGCTTCACGTTTGAACAGACACAAGGCGGCAGATGTTTCTTAAAGACATGGCTTACATCAGTCTTGCTTTCTTCTTGAGGCATATGTAGCGTGCAAGGATCCGAACAGACCTCATGACGTTTGTATTAGCTCAACTTTGCGTTTGATACCACTTTCATAGCCAAAGCTTGAAACTTCCCCTATATATTGCTTTGAGAAACCACTGATTCTTGGCATTCCACAGACATCAAGGTACTAATTGAGCCTTTTGTTGTTAGCAGCCATGAGGGTGTTGTTTATAAATCCCAAGTACAAATCCTTTGTGTCTTCTCTGTTTCTTGTCTTTCTGCTTTCATCTTCTACTTGGGTTGCTTCAGCTTCTCTTCAGGACAGTTTCCTTCAATGTCTCAATGAGAATTCTCAATTCTCTGTCCCTTACTCAACTTTTTGTGCTCCGAACAATGCTACGTTTAATACTCTTCTGCAGTCAACTGCTCAGAATCTGAGGTACTTGGAGGCTTCAGTGCCAAAGCCTCTGTTCATCTTCACCCCATTGCTTGATTCCAATGTCCAAGCAGCTGTTATCTGCTCAAAACAGCTAAAAATTCATCTCAGAGTTCGTAGTGGAGGCCATGACTATGAGGGCCTCTCTTATGTGTCTCAAATTGAGTCACCTTTCATAATTCTTGATCTCGCCAAACTCCGATCTGTCAAAGTCGATATTGACAGTAATAGCGCTTGGGTTCAAGCCGGGGCGACGATTGGAGAAGTTTATTACAGAATTACTGAGAAAAGTAAAGTTCATGGCTTCCCAGCTGGCCTTTGCACAAGCTTGGGTGTTGGAGGTCATATAACAGGAGGTGCTTATGGTTCTATGATGCGAAAGTATGGCCTCGGCGCTGACAACGTCGTCGATGCTCGGATTGTTGATGCAAATGGGAGAATTCTTGACAGAGAAGCCATGGGAGAGGACCTGTTTTGGGCAATAAGAGGAGGAGGAGGAGGGAGCTTTGGAATCATTCTGTGGTGGAAGCTAAATTTGGTACCTGTTCCATCAATTGTGACTGTTTTTACTGTTGCAAAGACATTAGAACAAGACGCTACAAAAATACTGTACAAATGGCAACAGGTTGCTGATAAGCTGGATGAAGATTTGTTCATCAGAGTCATTATAAATGTGGCTGCTAATACTGATAAACAGGGTCAGAAAACTGTGAGCACAGCTTACAACGCCCAGTTCTTGGGGAATGCAAATAGACTCCTCAAGATTATGGGAGAGAGCTTTCCTGAATTGGGTTTGACAAGAAAAGACTGCATAGAAACAAGTTGGATCAAATCAGTTCTTTACATTGCTGGTTATCCAAGTGGAACTCCACCTGAAGTGCTTCTCCAAGGAAAATCCACTTTCAAGAACTTCTTCAAAGCCAAATCAGATTTCGTGAGAGACCCCATTCCAGAAACAGGTCTTGAAGGGCTCTGGAAAAGGTTGTATGAAGAAGAAAGCCCATTGATGATATGGAATCCTTATGGTGGAATGATGGCCAAAATCTCAGAGACTCAGATCCCATTTCCTCACAGAAGAGGAGTCCTTTACAAGATTCAGTACCTAACTACATGGCAAAAGGAAGAAGGAAATGAAGACAGACACCTGCAATGGATCAAGAAGCTTTACAATTACATGGCACCTTATGTTTCTCAGCTTCCAAGAGAAGCATATGTGAATTACAGAGATCTTGATTTGGGAATCAACGAGAAGAACAGTAACACGAGCTACATCGAGGCGATCGGATGGGGAACTCGGTATTTCAAGCAAAACTTTGGGAGATTGCTGAGAGTTAAGACTAAGGTTGATCCTGATAACTTCTTCAGACATGAACAGAGCATTCCACCTATTCCAACTTCTGAAAGTTTAAGGTTTGGATCTTCCGAAAGGGGGTTTGATTAGAGTTATTTGATGTGTTTACTTTTTACCTTACCTTTAAAAGTTTGTAACTTGCTTGGGCCGTAAATGCAATAAGATACTGATAAATCTATTATGAAGTGATGCAGTGAATGAATGAGCCTTCGGATTTTTCTCGTAAGAAACAAATGAATTCAAACCAGAACAATGAAAAGATATCAGCTTAAGATGGTTTTATAAGTCAAATAATACCTCAGTCGCAACGTCATCCCAATGCTACAGAGTGGCTGACATCTTCTATCGAAAGATTTCTTCTTAGAAAGGAGGTTTGGAGTCGGTCACCGATCATTTTCGGGTATCAAAAGTTGTCTACTAAAACAAAAACTACGCTCGCGAATCGATTTTGCATTCCTTTGCAGCAGCACTAGCATTGATGCCAGAGGAGAAATTGTAACAGCTCAAGCTCATCGTTCTTAGGTATTGTCCGCTTTGACCCATGACGTATTAGCGCCAGCCTCACGATTTTTACGATGCGTCTACTATGGAGAGGTTTCCACGTCCTTATAAAAAATGTCTCGATGGATTCTCACATAAATCAGCCACCAGTTTCTTATTTCTCTCCTTTCTGCTTCTTCGTTTTGGACTCTCAGATTTAGTGTTTTTTCTTCTTTTAAAAGTGTCTGTTTCTGCATGAAAACAGATGACACAGACAGCATAGCAGCTTCACAATTTACAAATGCAAATACACAATTCTCATTCGAAGTATAGCTCCATAGCTGATGAACATGAAATCAGCTTACTACATCTGATAACCAGAAGGAAGAAAGAAGAATAGAGTATTCAAGAAAGGCGGGCGATATGCAGGCGCTACCCTGTCGCCCCAAAAATATATATAATGGTTGTTAAAGCATGAACTTAATGCTTAATGTACAAAAAAGAAGAACAGACCCCATACAAAAATCTAGTGATGAGATAATATTTGTGCAGCCAACATCTTCATTTGTTTTCCTGAATGGGTTTAGTAGAAGGATATGTTCCAAATGCTCTGTCCCATAATGGAGAAGTGATACCAAATCCTTGGCTTTGAATCCTGAAGTGGTGGTTCAAGTGATATCTCTGTCCAACGCATAACAATCATAAGAAATCATTCCTTCTGAAACCTCAAAAACGTGAAAAAGCCAAGACATTACCTTCAAATTTTGAGACAACCCTGAGGTTGGCTTTCCATGATGCAGGTAATAATGAGTTACGTCGTACATTACATATCCCAACAAACCACCACCGAACAAAGCAGGAGCTACTGCTGGAGTCGATGTAAGTCTAATCACGACCCACAACTGACACACACAAATCACAAACACAGCTTCATAAGATTACATACTTAGATTGCACAAAATTACACAGATTATTTAATTGATCATGCAAGTGTTGAGGCCGGTGGTCAATCATTATCCAGTTCCAATCCTTAAGGTTCCTCTTTTAAATATATGACCATGTAGATCACTCAACCAGACGGCATATAGAGGTGACTATTTTTGGAACTTACCGGCACACTTAAGATAGCTGTTGCAGCAGGTGGGAAGACGAGTCTGAGTCCGTCCATTGGATGCTTGTGATGACAACCATGAAGTAGATAATGCAGAGTGTTTCCCCTGAAACAGGTTGTGACATCATCACTGTCCTTGAACTCACCATTCATCTGTGAGTGTGTGTGTGTGTGTGAGTGAAAGAGAGAGAGAGTACCAATAGCTTCTTGTTTCCATGTGGAAAAGAAAGCGGTGCAATGTGTACTCAAGCAAAGACCAGATGAAAACCCCAGCAGCCAAACATGAAGCCACATCTGAAGGAGTAAGGCCCCTTGACAAAGACACAGAAACCAACCAGGAAATCACTGGCAGCCAAACAAGTGGAATCACCCACCATACTGTGCGCGTCAACATCTGTTAATGAACCAAGAAATTAAAGGCAAACCTCCCATTACTCATTTCAGGAAAGTCATATATCAACTATCACATCTATCTATGCACACTAACTTCAGGTTGTGTGATATCATATAATTATAAAGAATCTAAGTAAAACCTCCAAAAAATCATTTCCAAAGAATCGAGGGCCCTCCTTGCTAACAATTGGCTGGTGAACCCATTTATTGTAAGCTTCTCCAAGATGGCCAACCTGCAAAAATTTCATGAGTTAGAACCGTTTGAAGAAGACTAAATGACAGTGAAGCTTATAGGAAATAACAGTGTATGCATTGAGGAGAAAAGGGAGGAGGCTAACCTGGAAAACGAGAGGCTTGTTTAAATCTACAGTAAAAGTCTTTGAAGCCATCTTGGAATCTTCTTACTATAAGAAAACAACCCTCCTTTGTTAATCTACAGTAAAACTAACATAATGGAACAATGAACAGCTTATACATTTCGCCTCCTTTCTTTACCCCTTGCTCATGGATTAGACTACTGAATAGAATTACTTTAACTTGCCTTGTAGTTTTTCACCAAACTCTTTAAAACATGCATGCTTGTTAAAAGAATAGGACTTTTATGTGATGTGACAAGTTCTGTTAAAGGCAGGATTATATTTCTCAAACTTGATGCTCCAGGCAAAGAACCCTCGCCATTTAACTTGCCAAATCATGATCATTAGATTTTCATCGATGGCAGATCATTCAAATCATTTCTCAAATCCAAAAGACTATAATTTCATTTTCTAGTCATAATCTTGGAAACTGAGAGAAATATCGTTCAAACTGAAGGGCTATACCCCATTGGAAGACCCAAAGAAAAGAATAATTCAGTGTTGAACCTAAGAACATAAACCAAAAGATTTATGAATTCAAGGACGAGAAGTAGATAGAGAATACCCAGAAGAGGATTAATCCAAAAGAGAACAAATGAAAACATAGCATCCCAATTAGCAGAACATTACAGAGTTAAGTACATTGGGAAAATAGAATATACTCACTTACGAGTTTCAAGAGCAATACCCAGAAGAGAATTAAATAAACAAACCGAGATATTCCCTTTTCGACCCGCATTAACTCCATTTAAGAAACAGAGAAGAAATTGCAGGTAGCATAGCCAGATTCTCCCGGATACCAACCTTTTTGGCAGAATGCAAGGGAGACGGAGAAACCCAAGAGAAGGGTAGAAAGGGTTCCACGAGATGAGTTCGGCCTTCTATAATAATGCCCTCCTCCAGCCCTATCACGAGATCTTAAGGAGCTTTAAGAGCGAAAGGTAAAAAGACCCGTGAAAGAAAGAAAAGGAAAGAAAGCCTAAGATTTGAGAACACAAATTGGGGGCTTTATATTAGAACGGGAGGTTCAAAAGCACCCACTCCTTTGGAATCGAAATCTTAGCTCAGCCTCACACATTCACAATGCCAGCATTTTCCCATTTTCCCATTTTCCCATGAACGTCAAAAATCCAAAACCAAAAATGGGTCCTTTCAAAATGAGTCAAGACTTGAACTTCTACGCTACGCCCGTCTTGAGATGGATGTGTCCACTCTAACCCACTTTTTTGTTCGGCCCCAACCTCCAACCCATCGCATAAAGATTGAAGCTGGATCATCTTAGAAAGCATATATAAATGTGGGAAATATAAAATAAGGAAGAAGGTAATGGGGGTGATGATGTTAAACACCTCCTTCAAATCATTATGGTCTTGTAGAGGTGTGGCTTAAACACTATCATTCCTCAAATCACTATTTTAAATTGCATCTTTTAATTCTAAACTTTGTATTTCCTTTCACTTTATAACCTATGTTGCGTAAAAGTTCAATATAGACATGTTATTATATTATTAAGAAAGATTTGATATGCAATTATATGAAAAGGCATTTCAATTTCATTTATGCTTTATAGAGTACATAAAAAAGATAGTTTTGTTATGGCAACAAAAAGAATTGAAATGAGTTGAGGGTGGTCAAAGAATGAGGTTACAAATGGAATAACATCAAATTGGTGCACAAACAAACAAGCTACCTTTCCTGAGACCGATCGTCCAAATGGAATAATTCAATAAAATAGAATGAGGTCAGCAATATAAATGAGAAGTAAATATGAACACTAGTTGGATTCTCAAAATTTATTTAAGTGTGGTGTTATCTACATCTATGTATAAGTAAGAAAGTGTTAAATATTCTTTGGAACAATAAGTTCAGTATGAATGCAAACGTGCCCATTCTAAGATATGCTCCCATCATCATCACTATCACCATTCACCATCAATTTTTTGAAGAAAAAGAGGAAATAATCATTAGTGGACTACCCTTTACTTTACCCAAATTTCTGTTTCTGGTTCAGAATTTTGATGAGTTTGAGCATGAAACACCCTGAAACTGTAAGAACAAGTGCCAGAAATCGGCCACCACAAAGCCCCAAAAGGATAATTAGGATCACAAATTCACAATCCAAACTCTTATTCCTCTCTTCTTCTTCTTCTTCTTCTTCTTCTTCTTCTTCAGGCTTCCACACTTGCCAAACCTCTTCATCTTCTTTCTCGCAGCTCCATTCTGTGCCTTGTTCGTTTCTCATGATCATGTTGCCCGTTTCTTGTTTCGTTTTGTTCTTCTCGCTCTTGTTGCTTTTCAATCTCTTCCCACTTCGTAGCTTCTTCGGTATCAACTTATTTATGAGTTTGGTTCTCAGCTTCGCGCTTCTGCTTCTCTGATTCTTCCCCACCTGGAATTGCCCCTGATCCTCCTCATTCTCCTCTTCCACTTTCAAATCCAAACAACAACCCAATCCCTTTTCCCAATTTCGAAATCGATCGTGTTGGAAACCTGATTGTTCCTTCTCGGAATTGGATTCCACGATTTGGATTTCGTTATTGGAGACAGAGTTCATGGACGGATCCTCTTCTTCTCCTTCACGAACAATCAATCCGCCTCGGCGGCGGAAGAACAGATTTCGGATCGAAGAGGGATCGAAGAAAGGAGCCGCGAATTTCCCAAAAAAGTAGAGGAGAAACAACAGGAAAGCGGAGAGAGTAATTCCGAGAACGAGTCTTTTAGTACTCAAAACCAGAACCACCACAACAAACATCTTTGCCGCCGCAACGAACAGCGAAGAGGTATAGATTGAATGGGCAGCATTGGCATTAGCATTCGATCGGCCACAGACCACACTGAATTCCACATGAGCCGGCATGGAGTCCTGCTGGAGAGCATGGAGTGAGTGTGGAGCGGCGGGGGAAGTATGAGGGGTGAGGGAGGGAGAGGGAGGCGGGGCGTGGAGAGGGCAGTGTTCGTGGTTGGTCGTATTGAAGGAGCGTCTCCTGATTCGGTGGCGATTCCTGACGAAGAGATCGACGACGGAGGTGGGGAAGCCGGTTTGGAGGACGAGGGAGGGAGGCTGGAGATCGGAGACAATCCGGGAGATTGGATTGGCCTTGGCGTTCTTCCATGGAAGACCCATGCTCCGCTTCGACACTTTATTAGAAACACAGACACACAACAGAGAGGGAAGAAGAAAGGTTTAAAGAGAGTGGGTTTTAATACAAAACCAATAAATATATAAATATATATATAAATATAAATATAAATATAATCAAAATAAAAATGGAGGGGGACAACGCGTGACCCTTCCAAAAGCCCACCCAAAATTATTGTTTTTTTTTTTTCTTTTCTTTTCAACTAAAAAAAAAAAAAAAAAAAATCCCTCAACAACTCTGTTATACTAATGTGTCATTATTATGTAATAAATGAAACTCAAAGGATTGAAATTAAAATGAATTTTTTTCCTAAATTTTCAATATTTTATATAATATACAAATCTAAACTAAAAGTTTTAATTAAAGAAAATATGTTTACATAACTATTAAATAAAGTAATCAAATAATAATAGAGGCATAATTACATATATAAAAAAAATATATATTATTGTAATTATATTTTACATGTGCAGAAATTAATAGGCAATTAATATATGTATGCATAAAGAAAAAAGTAACGTTAATAAATGAAACCCAACCTATGATTGTATTATTTTAGAATAAAAATGAGTTATTGATGAAAATAAGTAATGGGTTGGTATATATATATACACACTTTTTCCCATTAATTTCAAGGAAGGATTTAATTAGGGAAGTAAAAAGAATAAAAGGCCCAGGCCCAATCCCAGGCCCAATCCCAGGCCCAACCAAGCCCAATTGTTTGTTCTTAGGTAAAAATGAATTTGAAGGATTCTAATTAATTATGTCCCCCACCAAATGCTTCAAATGCTTAAATAATTCCCTCTCATATGCATCTTAAACTTCAGACATGGCGGCCAGCAGACATACATATATATATATATATATATATATATGCATCTGTTCCCATCTTATAGCCATTTGTGAGCTAATAATTAAAAAAAAATGTGTAGTGCAATAATATATTAATTAGATATTTTAATATAATGCTAACCTTATATTATTATGCATATTTTTGTTTAAGGCATGATTATTTTGGTTATGGATTCATATAACCTAACTATTAGAACTGAATTGACCATACAACAACTGAGCTCTTATAGGTTGAGCCAAAATTGGAGGTTTCCATTTGGTGAGCCGGCTGCGCCTTATCCCTAATCCAGAACATTAATTTAATCAAATATTTATAATACGCAGACAGGATTACAAATTTGAATTTACCTATAAAGTCAGCTCCATGGCGTCCCCTGTTTCTTCATTCCACACCTTATAGAGACTTGACTTGAAAACAAAGCTTGTACTAATATGGCTTCTGCTCAGCTCCTTCTCCTTGTGCCACTTCTTCTTCTCACTTCTTGTGTTGTTATGGCCTCTGATCCAAGCCCTCTTCAAGATTTCTGCGTTGCGGATGCCAATAGTACAGGTAGTGTTCATATTATGTTCTTAATCTTGGAGTTTTGGTTAATGGGGTTGGTGTGTAACTGATGATTTTGGCAGTGAAAGTGAACGGCGTGGTGTGCAAGGGCCCCAACCTTGTGACTGCGGGTGATTTCTTCTTCAGTGGGCTTAACAAAGCAGGCAACACGTCCACCCCAGTGGGCTCTCGAGTGACGGCTGTGAATGTGGTGCAAATCCCTGGCCTCAACACGCTCGGCATCTCCTTGGCTCGTGTCGACTATGCTCCCTGGGGGATCAACCCGCCCCACACGCACCCGCGCGCCACCGAGATTCTGACCGTCCTCGAAGGCACACTCCTCGTCGGCTTCGTCACCTCCAACACCGAGAATCGTCTCTTCACCAAAGTGCTTTACAAGGGCGATGTGTTTGTTTTTCCGGTGGGTCTCATTCACTTCCAACAGAACATCGGGTACGGACCCGCCGTGGCTCTCGCCGCTCTCAGCAGCCAGAACCCGGGCGTCATCACCATTGCAAATGCAGTGTTTGGGTCTAACCCTGATATTCCGGCCAACATTCTGGCCAAAGCCTTCCAGGTTGAGGAGGCCACCATCACCAAGATTCAGTCCAAATTTTAAGCCCGCTTCTTTAATGTTAAGGTGTGTTGTGTGCGTCCATTGTGTTGAGTTTCAATAATCATTGTGTTTTTAATTATTATTTTCGTTTTAGAGTGTTGTTTTGTTGGGTCCCCATATTTTGTTCAATAAAAATTGATTGATTATTCTATGCTTTATTATTATTAATTTTTTGAGCTGTTTAATATGTTCTTAGAAAGGACCATACAATTCATTACAAATATTGTTTGAACTCACCCAAAAAAAAAAAAAAAAAAAAAAAAAAAAAAAAAAAAAAAAAAAAAAAAA